CTTAGGAATTAAATATATTTTATATTTATATATATTAGAATACATTTTATATTGAAGCATTTTTGAATAGCTGCCAGAAAGCTATTGGCATTTATTCCCCAGCATAAATCTAATGCTATTTAGCTTAACAGAGGTTTTCAAAGTTTGACTTAATTGTCCTAATTAACATTGATTTTGGAATTTTGCCTATGAATAAGCATGTTCTATTTTTACATATAAGTTACAGAGAGAGGCATTTCTTATGATTCATCTAACCATATATGACTGACTTTAATTATTAATTTGTATAAATATTGATTTGTCAACAAAAACACGAGTGTTAAATTTAGTGACCTGGTCACAAGTGAATATATGAAGCCTTGTTTAGTGGTATCAAAGATGTTAAAGTACTGACTCTCTTTTAATTTTAAATTTAGTTCATTTGCCAAATGAATCATGCATTTAACTTTATTGCAAATTAAAATGACCTCAGTTCTAAAAAATTAAAATGATAGAGGAGTTAGAAAAATGATAGAGGAGTTAGAAAAATGTTTAATTGTTTGTTTTAGATGAATAAACTATTTATTTATTTATTTTTATGTTTATTTTTTTGAGACAGAGTCTCGCTTTGTCGCCCAGGCTGGAGTGCAGTAGTGTGATCTTGGCTCACTGCAACCTCTGCCTCCCAGGATCAAGCGATTCTCATGCCTCAGCCTCCTGGGTAGCTGAGACTACACATGTGCGCCACCACATCTGGCTAAGTTTTGTATTTTTAGTAGAGATGAGATTTTGCCGTGTTGGCCAGGCTGGTTTAAAACTCCTTACCTCAGGTGATCCACACGCCTCGGCCTCCCAAAGTACTGAGATCACCGGCCTGAGCCACTGTGCCCAGCCAGAATAAACTATTTAAAATTTGCCTGCTAGATAAGATAATTTTACACCTTTTCAGTTTAAATACATTGTCTCTAATACCATGCCAATCTCTTCTATGGATTTTTTAATCACCTCTTTTCAAGTAAGTTTATCACGGACAGATTACAAGCAAGGTGATCTAAGCAGCTCAGGTTGTAATTATTCCCTAGGTAAATCAGGTTCTTAAAAAAAAAAAAAAAAAAAAATTGAAATGTGTCAAGATTTGGAATGAATTTTAAACTTTCATTTACTTTTAATAACTTAACTAATTACTGTCAAAATGAATCAGTTTGGAATTGCACCCCAGCTTGATTAATCATGTGGAGTTTCCAGGTAACGTATCTGTTACATTCTAAAGCACATACTTGAAAAGTAAAATTCTTCTTTCTTCCACATATTATTTTCATCCTACTGTTTTATTGTTGCTAAAGTCATTGTAGCCTCAAAATATATCATAAAAGGACCACCCTGTTATATATACTTCTATTCATCTGAGATGGGACAAGCTCTTTGGTAACTGAAATTTGTCAGATGAGCCATACTTGTTTTTGTTTTTCTTCTTGCTTTTTTGTACCATTTCTCCCTCTTTTAAATTCCGCTTATGTTTTGGGATTCATTCAAGGACACTGCTTTTAAGATAACTTGTCCTTAGGCAGTTATGAATTTCCATAGTTACAGTTGCTGCCACTTCATTAAAACTAGGAAAAAAAACAACAACACAGCTTTCAACATTTTCTTGGCTGGAGGACTTGGTATTTTATATAGTTATATTTGGAGCAAATTCTCTTTTATTTTTTTCTTTGGAAATATTAGTAATGTGATAAATGCTAAATAAGAGTGCTGTAATTACTTTGGTAATGAATCAAGTTAGTGTATAGTATGGAGCTACCAAATTAGGTAGACTATAGTGCCAGTTTGAATTTACCCTTTATTGGGTATAATTCTCTAACTTCATTTGAAATGTAAGAAATCTTCATTGGGTGTCACAATGTTACAGTTTAGTTTAAGTATTCAAGTGCAATAAGAGATTTGCATTCTTAATGATTTTGTTCATTTCTATTTGGGATTAAATTATTAATCTTGGATTAGTCATGCAAGAAAAGTCACTGAAGTGACAGTTGAGATAACTGAGTTTAAGGTTTACCTCAGAAACTTACCAGCTGTGTGACATCAGCAAGTCATTTCTCTGGATTGCTTTTTCAGAGCTCTAAGATGATATTATTTTATATTTTTATAACAAGTTTGTCTTTATAGATGGATATTGTTTATGTGTCTTGTGTTATTTTAAAGTATTACACAAATATATCAGTGATTACCATTTGGTAATAAATGTACTTAAAGTGACTATTTTAGATAATTACAAATACACCTAATATATGAGAAGAAATTTATAAATATAGAGAGAAATGGAGCTATACCATTGTGTGATTAAATCACTAATTGGCATTATACTATATGATGCTAATTGCAATCTGGGTATGAAGAGAGTTTCAGTTGATGGAGTTATACTAGATATTTGAAGATTTAAGTTATTATCAAAATGGTAAATAAACATCCTTAAAAGAATTGAAAACATGAACTTGCAGCATTAACATACATACTTGAAAAATTAATTCAAAACTAGATGATACATTTGCTAGTTTGTTACCTAAAAGATGAGTTGGATGAAGAAAAATGTGAAAATGTATGGCAGTGTTTTGCACATTCTGTTTAGAAGTTTGTGGAACTCAAATGAGTAATTTGAGTATTTTCCACCTGATGCTGGTTACTAATTTGGAACATCTTATTGAAATGCCCTGTAGGCCAGGTGCGGTGATTCACTCCTGTAATCCCAGTACTTTGGGAGGCCAAGGCAGGTGGATTGCTTTAGGTCAGGAGTTCGAGACCAGCCTGGCCAACATGGCAAAACCCCTTCTCCAGTAAAAATGCAAAGATTAGCCAGGCTTGGTGGTGCACACCTGTGATCCCCGCTACTTGCGAGGCTGAGGTATGAGAATCGCTTGAACCTGGGAGGCGGAAGCTACAGTGAGCCAAGACTGCTGCACTGCACTCCAGTCTGAGCGACAGAAGAAGATTCTGTCTAAAAAAAGAAAAAAGCCCTGTAAATATACATTATGCAAATTAGATAATAGAGTACCAAATTAGGGAAAAATAAACTTTTTGTCAAATTTATATTGTATTTATTTATTTATTTTTGAGACAGTCTCGTCCTGTTGTGCAGGCCTGGAATGCAGTGACTCCATCATGGCTCACTGCAGCATACATCTCCTGTGCTCAAGTTATCTTCTCACCACAGCCTCCTGAGTAGCTGCAAGCACTCACAACCATGCCTAGCTGATTTTTTCATTTTTATTGTTAGTAGAGATGAGGTCTCTCTGTGTTGCCCAGGCTGGTCTTGAACTTCTAAGCTCAAGCAGTCTTCCCACCTTAGCCTCTCAAAGTGTTGAGATTATGGCCATGAGCCATGGTACCTGGCCTGTCAGTCAAATCTTTTAATTTGTATTATATAGTATCATCATTCATTAGTTTTGATTTACCCACTTATAAATTTATTTTATTAAAACAAGTTAATTGAGACTTTATGTCATAAGCATTGTGTTAAGTTTAATTGGGTGTAGAAAGATGAATATGCTATGGTCCTTACCAAGTTGGGAATGAATTTTGTAAGGAGACAGAGAATAAAGCATTAAAGGGCCAGAGTGGCACAGAAGGAAAAGAGATGAATATAGAAATTACTAGCCATAAGTTTTCAGTTAGAACTTGAATAAGTGTTGTTAAGGGCCGTTCTACACTGGTGTCCTTAAACTTACATGTATTTGACCTACTTAGGATTCTTGTTAAAAGACAGATTCTAATTCAGTGTGTCGGAGTGAGCCTGAGATTTTGCATTTCTAATATACACTCAGGTGATGCCAGTGATTATGGGTCATGACTGATATTTTGAGAAGCAAGTCTCAGTATTGTTCTTTGGAAGTAAGAATTATAGATGTAGGATCTGCATTTAAAGGCCTTTCCTAGATATAGTCTTCATTTTTCTTCCTAATTACTTCCATAATATAATTAAAACATACTAATTGGCAATATAAATGTAAACAGATACATATTTTATAAATTTACTTTTTTTGAATGACAATTTAGTTGACTCTTGGCTATTTAGGGACAGATTAAATGGTAAGCAGTTAGCCATGGTATTAAATAACAGTGTACTTAGTATCATGAAGAATTGAAATTACAGTAATGTAAGAAACACTAATATATCTATACTATAATGTAATTCTGTTTAGAATTATTTGGTACCTACTCTAGCTTGGGAGTGTTCCTTGATCTCAGCTGTCAAAGTAATTTTTGGGAGCAGTGCCTGCATTCTCTTCCATTCTCTAAGGAATAGTGGTCTGCATATGGGAATTATAAAATCTACAGAGGCTGTGCTATGATTGGTGGAGATTTCTAACATATTGGCTGCAAATACTGATGTAGTTACAGTTCTTTTAAACATTTGTATGCATTCTTTCTAATGGTAAATGTATTCTGAAATATATGAAGTGAATTTTAGCTAAATTAGTTTAAAATGTCATTTTATGTGGCATTTTAATTAGTTTTATGTTAACTAGGATTTTGGATATGTGAGACCTTTTCCTTCTACTTTTTTTGGCTGCTTAAGAATTATTTCTTTACATAAACATGTATGCACATACATACATGTAGGCAAATAATGTGTGTAGTATGATCCCAGGTTTAGCATTTCAGCTGTGTAAGTCATATGTGATAAGTTATGAAAATTTAAATGTAAATCATAATTATGGACAATTATGAAGTATGGAAAAAATCCTTTAAAATAAGTTTGGAGAATTCATTTTTTTCTATCAGATACATGTTTATTTAAAAGTAAAGTACTATAAAGTATATTTAATTTGTTACTTTTTATTTCCTATGTCATAAATGGTAACAAAATGCAGTGGTCCAATATAGTATTAATTAGAAATAACTAATTTTGCAAGTGCCTAACTTAAGCAATAACATTAACAGAGGAAATTTATTTTTATCGTTAATTAAACATTAGATATACTGTGGATTTTTGTTTTTTGTTTTTTGTTGTTTTTTTTTTCCAGAGAACCAGAGGACGAAAACGGAGCTTCGTTCCTGAGGAAGAAAAACATGAGGTTGGAATAAGTTAAGCACTTTTACACAGTCTTAACTTTGAGAAATTTTCTTGCTTAAAATTCTTTCCCTCATATCCTTATTTTGTTTTGTTATGTTTTATTTTATTATCCCTTGTATGGCAGGAAAGAGTTCCTAGAGAGAGAAGACAAAGACAGTCTGTGTTGCAAAAGAAGCCCAAGGCTGAAGATTTAAGAACTGAATGTGCAACTTGCAAGGGAACTGGAGACAATGAAAATCTTGTCAGGTAAGTTGGATGCTAAAACCTTGTCTTTAGGGGATGAAAGTTCCATGTTTATTATTTTCTCATCACAGAAAAAATGAAAAAAACAATTTCAGGATAGGACCTTTCTCAAAATATTATGTAGTGGAAACAATACTTCAGAAACAGATTTCATCCACTTCTTAACCTCTCACACATGGTTATGCTCTGGATTTAGATGTAAATAAAGAGTAATAATCTGCATTTTTAACACAGGGAATTATTTTTCTCTTGACAAGAGAAGTTGACAATGCTCTCTATATAGAGGCTATAAAAGTAATTTGATCTAAACACTGTGTACTAAGATTATGTTTTATGTCATAAAATAATAAAGTTACTAAGCTCTGTTAGCATATTTTAAATGTTTGAAATTTAGAAGCAATGGTGAGAAGACAGACTTTTTATTGACAAGAACTTAATTAGCATTTTCTCATTGCTTATCAAAACAAATGTGTTAAATGCTTCTCCCTTACGAAATAAAGAAAGGTGAAAAGATGGCCTAGCTTGATTTTATTTTTTGTTTTGTCTTTGTTTCTTTGTTTCGTTTTGGTACTTTTTTTTTTTTTTTAATCAGACATAATGCTAATCAGAAATCTTAGCTGATGCTGCACATTGGCTTTTCCCAATGGTCCAGAGGCTGCTAATTTTGGCTGAAATGAAGAAATTGATCAAAGCTCTGGGTGAGATGGCAGAGTGAATGGGTGGACAAAAAGAGAGCTAATTTAAAAGAGGCATCAGACTTTCAAAAAACAGTGTTACAAAGGTTCTTACAGTTCTTATAGGGACTTTGTAAGGGAATCCATTCTGATTTCTTTAAAAACATTGTCTTCTGGTAAAGCCCTGTCAAATTAAATGAGGACACAGAAATTAAACATTTCAAAAAGAATAAACATATTTATAAAACAAATATATTAGTGTTGTATGTTTTTAAATATTTACTTCCAAATGATTTAATCTATTTTGGTCATTAAAAATATGATTTGTCTTAATTTCTCAAAGAAAGGCATGAGGTCTTAATTTTATGAGTTTTTTATACTATCAATGAGAAAGATAAAGAGAAAGTAAAAATTACAGTAGAAAAAGAGAAAGCTCTTCGACAAAGTTAAGAAAGTTTATAATAATTGGCTAATTTTTTTGAGATAGTCCATATAGAATGTCTTGGGAGCTATCCTGAAGGTTAAGTTTATTAAAATTTAGGGTAAAGTAGTAAGTAGTTCGAAGTTCAGGAGATACACATGAATAATTCTGACCACAGTATAACTTTTGCAGTATGTCAAAAATGAAATCCCAAGCGTAAGCATAACATAATGGAGTAAATGAAACAACAAAAATAGAGAAAAAAATATATATAATATATATTATATAATGAACAAAAATTTAATTCAGGAAAATTCCCTTGGGGTTGAGGATGGAGTTGAGGACTATGATTAATTTGAAACAGTAGTTAAAAACTTACAGAGGTGGTGATCCTTCTATTAATTATTTGAACCTGTATGAGTCTCTACTGTCTTACTAATTTTTTTTTTTAAATATGAGATTGATTGAGGCCTTTTTGCTGTAGGACTTAGAGGTTTTTATCAGGTGTTTTGTTTTGCTTTTGTCATATGTTAGAAATTAGGAAACTGAGAAATACAATTTTTATTTTAAAAGTCAGTTTATGATAGATTTCCAACCCGTCGTATTTTAGTTGTTTAATAAAAAAAAGTGCCATCTTTCTTCTAATTTTGATAAGATTTTTGAATAGTATTACTCTATATTATTTATTTATTTAGTTTCTGTTGTAAAATTTTTATTTCTAATTGCATTATTACAACATGCCAATGTCTGGAATTTTGTGAAAGTCTTCTGGAAGGTAAAGATATTTTTATTACTCTGAAATAATGGATATACAAAGTCCCCTTCCTTGGTTTTGCCTTATTAAGAAGATAATATCGTAAATTGTCTGCAAAGTTTTAAAGAGGTAATGTAGAGGAAATTAAATGTTTTATTGATACTGTATTTTAATATTTCTTAGGACAAGATAAGCTGGATATAAAGCAATGCCATAAAATATTTTTGGTTATAATGTGATCTTTAAAAAAAAGTACACTGTTTACGCACTATTCTTCTTGGGTTGAAGAATTTTATTTTATATAAAATTCCATATGTTTAATAAAAGTAATCTCATAAGCTAATATCTGCCATTTTCCCTGGCATCTCATATTTTGGAACTGGCACTGTTATTGTTTGAAAATCACCCCTCAAAAGTCTACACTTTTTTATTATATTGCATCTTAAATACTGTCTATACATGCTATTTTTTTAACTTTCAAATAAGATATTTTAAATAAGGATTTCTTTTCTCTAAAGATATATTTCAGCGCTTACTCAGAGTTATGTGTATGTCTGTTAGGTTCTCTTTTAAAATTAAACTTCATGGGTCACAATTAGTTTTTTATTTAATATACTGTGTTTACTTTCTCAAGTTCTTTTAAACTAATGTTTATATCTCACTAGCACCTGCTCTTCAGCAGTTTTGATTTTTTAAACCACACTTCTCTATGTAATTCAGGCTATATAGAAAATTCTTTCTAATTGTCCTTGCTTTTTTAGTTATTTGTGTATGTTTACTTGTGAATTTACATGTATAATTTTTTATATCATTGAACAATTGCATGCAATTTGTCAGTAAACTGTAATTAGTAGGTTTCAACTGTTATTTTCTGCTTTGCCTGTTTATCTTGGGACTTTGGCGAGTAATTTAGCATTTCTGTGCCTTCGTTTCCCCCCTGTTGTAAATGGTCTCAATCATACTGTGCTTCATTAGGTACCTTATGAATAATTGCTGAGTGATAGTAAGGTTCTTTCCATATAAAATATTAGAACAGTAGTAGTATTTAGTAACACAAGGAATATATGTATGTGTGCATTGAAATAAAGGTCACAATTGGTAAATATGTTTCCAGTTAAATACTTGTTATGTCAGAAAATGTACACGTCCTGTTTTTGTATATAATTTTGTCTAGAGTCTAGGAGACAAAAAGAAATTTGTCATTACATGTTTTCTAAAATGATTAGATTGAAGTTTTACAGCATCTTAGGGAATTTTATTTTTTTAAGTGCAAGTTTTTTGCCATCTACTTTTAAAATTTAATTAGAAATTATCTGAGAAGTTTCATCAAAATATGTATTTCTTTATGTTATTTAATGCAATCTAAATGCTAAAGGTCAAATTGAAAAACTATATCATGGAATTGTGAGGTCTTAAAGGCTTTGTCTGTGATAGGCTTTGTCTGTGATAGGTCATTCTTTGTTGGAAGTAGTTATACAACTACTTAGTGATACCTTATTTGTTTTTGTTTCCACAGTTCATGGCACATTTAGTACTCAGAAAATGCTTGATAAATGAACTCTGCATAAGTAATGACTGAGTATTCTTTTGCTGAATTAAACTGTCACTATTATAATTTAATTCTAGAGCAAATTGAGTCACAAAATATAATGTTTGATGAAGATATTTAAAGGGCTTAATAAAGGACAATTGATTTTTTGTCACAAAAATGTAGTGGATAGTTGATAGTTTTTCCTCCCCTGTATTTTAAGTAAGGAAATAGATTTGAGAATAATTGATGAATCTATGAAAAGTAGAAATGAAGTGATTCCTTTCCTTGAACGTATGTGAAAGGGAAGTGGGCCTGTCTTCTCTTTCAGTCTTTTATCGAACTATAAAATTAGAAATAACACCAAACTTCTAAACCTCAAATTTTATCTTAACTATATAAACTCAATGTGGCACATTTTATTACTTAATCAGAGATAGGAGAGAGAGAAGAAAGGTTTCCTAAAGCTAGGAACCCTGGAATCCGTGAGCCGTCTTAAATAGCATCTTTAATTTTATTTTGTATTGTGGCCATTTTTCAGAAGCATTGAGGGTAGGAAATGATCTATTAAGCTATTTCACTTTTATAGCTAATTCTACACTATTAATGCTTGCCAGATTCTCCCCTTTATTTGAGTATATGGCAAATTATATAGGTATTGATCCATTTTGATTACAAGGTTAGGGTGTCAATTTGGTCTCTACACATTGTTGTTAGCACTTTTATTTATTTTACATTTAAAAATCTGGCTTGTCAGTGCATCCTCCCCAACTAAATTTGTTTGTATCGTAAGTTATTAGGAACACCAGCAAGAATTCATATATATTACATTTTGATTTCAAATAGTAGTCTCTCATTATTCTAATTATAACTTTTTTTTTTTGTTTTTGTTTTTAGTTTTTGTCGTCACCCAGGCTAGAGTGCAGTGGCACTTTTTTGACACAGTATAGCCTCTGCCTCCTGAGCTCAAGCAATCCTCTCACCTTTCAGCCTCCCGAGTAGATGAGACTTGATTTTTAATTTTTAATTAACTTTTCTGTTCTAACTAGTATAGAGGCTTATAGACTTCCTGGGTCGAAATTGAAGGGGTTTTTCCCTGTGAGATTTGATTAGACTGAGAGTAAAGCTAAAACTGCTTATAAGTTTAGTTAATATTTTTCATAAAACGTTAGGTCACTAAAAATGGATTATTTTAAATTTAACAAAGTGAAACCAGTCTTGTCCCTCTTAAGATTAGTTAGGATTACATTTGATCAATCTTTCTTTCTTTCTTTCTTTCTTTCTTTCTTTCTTTCTTTCTTTCTTTCTTTCTTTCTTTCTTTCTTTCTTTTTTTCTTTCTTTCTCTCTTTCTCTCTTTCTCTCTTTCTCTCTTTCTCTCTCTCTTTCTCTCTTTCTCTCTTTCTTTCTTTCCTTTCTTTTCTTTCCTTTCTTTCTTTCGGCAGACAGAGCCTTGCTTTGTCGTCCAGGCTGGAGTGCAATGGTGCAATCTTTGCTCTCTGTAACCTCCACCTCCCAAGTTCAAGCGATTCTCCTGCCTTAGCCTCCCAAGTAGCTGGGATTACAGGCATGCGCCACTACACCTGGCAAATTTTTTGTATTTTTAATAGAGACAGTGTTTCACCATG